GAGGCTTATGGTCACCCTGAGTAGGAAAACGGTCTGCTTGTGGTCCTTTCTTTGTGCCAGGTAACCTTCTGGGGACTCTCCAGGAAGCAGAGCTCAAACCGCTGTTTCCATAAAGCATTGGGATCAACCAGAGAAAATCCCATAGTTTTGGGGTCAACCACAGAAAATCCCGTAGTTTTGGGATCAACCACAGAAAAGAATCAGCGATGTGTGTAGTAAGTGCAGGTAATAAAGTGGTATGTGAGCAGGTAGCAGCGGCCTGGCTTGAAGGGAGGAAAACCCTGTGACCCACCCACAGAGGTCATGGGTGACCGCTATAAGGGACACTATTGAGACACACAGGACCCTCACCAGCCTCACCAGCTGGCCTCCTCCCCCAGTCCTGATGCCACACTTTGTGGGCCTCCAGCAACAGACGCCACACACACACTCAGACACCAAGAAGGTGGGGACCGGCTAGCTACCCGCAAAGAACAACTTCCTGCAGTATCTTCTAAGACAACTGTGAGTGCACTAGGATGGAGTAGGGTCGTGGAGAGGTGCCCCAGATCTGTGAGGGGATGAACTGAAAGGGCCTTGGTGTCCCCGAGCAGGGCACACATCAATAGTTAAGAACATTTCCTCACTGTCATTGTTCTGGTTCAGAAGGTCGGATTTGAACCCAGAATGGAGAAGGTACCAGTAAGATTCCCTGAGCAGAGCTGAGACTGAAAGGGTCCCAGGAAGTTTGTTTAGGAATCTCTGTGTTGTTATGGAAATTAAGGACAACAGGGAAATCTCTCATTTCAGACTTCCTCCTGGAGAAACTCTACATCAGTTTAAAGGAAATAATTTGATAAGCTGTCTGGGGTAACAGGGGTAAAACTCTAGGAGCATGCTCAGGTAATAAAGATAGCAAGCAAACTGTCTTCTAAAGTCCTGTTAACTAGAGGATGCTTTGTGTCATGGGCTGTGGATTTACAGGGTTGAGGGCAGGTTGAGGAAAGAACTAAGCAGTTTGGCAGAGAAAAAAGGGAGATTTTGCATCCTGACATGATTAAGAGCCAGATGGCAGAGCACTGCATAGAGGACAGTTGAGAATGACCAGTAGTGGCCATTTTAACCAGAAATTTCTATAGAAGATGTTTTAGGGTCTTCGTGGTATGACTCTCTTTGCCATCCCCATACTCATGAAGACCTTTTTTTTTTTTTTTTTTTTTGAGGAAAGTACTTTCAGAATCTAAGGGCGATGTCTAAGTTACCATGTGAGCAACGTACATCCGGGTGCCTTGACACAGAACCAGGGGGTGAAGAGAGAGCTGGCATCTGGGCTGAAGAAATCACACAGAGTAGGAGACAGGGGTTTGGTTTCAGGTCCAGCTCTGCAGCAGATGATTTTTAACGCCCTGGAAAAACTCCTTCCCCCTTTGGACTTTATCTACTCAACCCTAAAATGGGCTCCGCTCCTTCCAACCCTAACATTCTATGATGGATTTTGATTCCACACTCTCCACAATGTAACATGGTATAGTTATCAGCAAAATATTTGTGCATTTATATGGAATGTGTTTGTTGCCACCACAACAAAAAGAATTTTCTCACAAATTACATGTGCAAAGAACTGCTCAGATTGAACTGTAAGATCATTTCAGATGCACTATTGATTTTCATTATTTTAATTTTTTCTATCCCTGAGTTCCTTGCCACCATCCCCCAATTTGATTTTACCCAACAGGACAATCACTGCCTTCTCTTTCTAGTAATCAGTTCATAAAATTTCAGAACTTGGGAGTCTAAGAAGCAGGCTAGTTTGAATGGAATTTTTATCCTTCCAGAGGGATGATGGCTTCCAACCTCCTAGAACCAGTAGAAATATCTCCAACTAGAGCAGTGTGTGTTCTTAAATAGCAATGTATGAAGGAGCAGTCATGCATGCATACCACCTATTCTTATATAATAAAAAAGCAACTTCTGTTATGAAACACTGTCCCATTAAAGCACAAAAGTTTTTGGCCCCTACTTTGGAGTAGTGAGCAGCGTTTCTCCACAGAGGTTCTTCCAGCACCCACTTTCCCACAATTTTCACCCTGTATTGTGACTAGGTTGTTCAACCTCTTCACAGCATCATTTCTCCCAGAAGGGCAAGAAAGCTGAATTTCCAGCAAAAGAGGCCTCTCCTGACTTAGCAAGGGCCATCCAGGGGGTTAAGATCCCTCAAGTGTCGTTTTCAACATTTCTCCTCTGATTCATTGTCATCCTAGAACAGATTAACTCTGCATACAAACACTGGCATATTAACATTGGACACTGCTCTGCCTCTGATGTTAGGAAACAGTCACAGACGGCTTAGCATGAAGTGACTTCAATGACAGAGCAACAAGATGTACAACTCAAAGTCTATTTCTTGCAAAGAATTAAAAGTAAAACTGGAAGTACTGCTCACCCAAAAACTTTTCAGGAGAATAGGGGGGAAACCAAAAAACCAGGATGGAGTGAAAGACCATAAAGAGAGAGGACTCAATGACTTAATGTGTTGGCTTGGGTAACTAGAATAAGCGCATTCAGTTCTCTGACAAGGCCTGAGTGCTGTCCTAGGTGCTGAATCACCCACAACATAGAGAACAAACAGGGTTCCTCCTCTGGCACGTACTTTCAATTAAGAGGAGACCAACACTTACATTGTAAACATACCATAGACAAGATGACTTAGAAAAGTGTAAAGGTTATGAAGAGAGCAAAAACAGGATGGAGTGATTGAGAGATATTGGGAAGGTCAGAGAAGTCACAGTAATGTTCTGGGTAGTCAAGAAGTTCTCTCTAGAGGAAATAACATTTACATAGAGACCGGTGGGCTAAGACAAAGCCAGGTATGCAAAGATCAGGGAAAGAACATTCTGAGTATTCATAAGAACCCATGCAAAGGTCCATCAGTGACTTCCAGGGCAGGAAGAATATCTGTGTGACTAAAACACCTGGGGGGAAAAGATCAGATTAGATCAGTTAGAGGAGAGTGGTGACAAGAAGTTTGAGTTTTCTCCTGCACTGTTGGTGGGAGTGCAGACTGGTCCAACCACTATGGAGAGCTGTGTGGAGATTTCTGGACCTACTAAACATAGAGCTTCCATATGATCCAGCAATTCCACTCCTAGGTATTTACCCAAAGGACACAGAAACATCAATTCCAAAGAGCACCTGCTGTAAATAGCAGCACTATTTACAATAGCTAAGCTTTGGAAACAGCCCAAATGCCCAAAAATAGATGACTGGATCAAGAAGATGTGGTCCATATACACCATGGAATATTACTCAGCATTCAAAAAAGATAAACACATGCAATTTGCAGCAACATGGATGGTGCTGGAAGGGATCATGCTCAGTGAAATAAGCCAAAAAAAAAAAGAAAAATACCGGATGGTCTCACTCATAGCAGGAATCTAGAAAACTTAAATAAGGGACCAGGAAAATGAATAACTATAAGAAAGTGAAAATCAAAATCAACAAAAAACTATGAACCAGAGACACTTTTTTGGGGGGTGAGGGGCGGGAGGGGAGGGATTGGGGTCAGAATGGGGGGGTTGCAATTGTATGGGGAATATAAAAATAAAATTTATTATTTAAAAAAAAAAAGAAGTTTGAGTTTTTTCCTAAGAGCATCAGGAAACCCCAAGGATTTTCAAGTAGGGTGGTGACATGATCTGACTTATGATTTGTAAAGATGACTTTTATCACTATGTGAAAAATGTATTATAGGGCAGATAAGTTATCAAAAAAAACAAGGAGGGGCTTTTCACAGGTACCAGGTAAATGATGATGGTGGTCTTGCCTGATGGTACCAGAGGGGGAAAGAAGTAGCTAGATTTGAGATATAGTTTTATATGGACTATTGTTTTTTTTTTTTTTAAATGTATTATTTTTTTATTTTTTATATTTTTTAATATTTATTTATTTATTTATCCAAGCACTGGGTACAGTCAGAAGCGCGGGAGGGTGAGAGAATTCACCAGAGTCAGAGCGGGGAGCAGAGCAGGCAGAAGGACCTAAGGACACTGCTGAGGGGAGCAGCGGGCGGCAGGAGAGGTCTGCGCGCCATGTGGGACCCTCCTCCAGTGGCCGGGGAGCAGCTGGGGATCGAACCAGCGCTGCAGAGGCTGCGGGCAGCTTCGGAACCCAGCACTCAACCGCTGCGCCACCGGGGAGGCCCTATGGACTATTGTTTTAGATGGAGGCAGGAAGACCTTAGTGAATTAAGTGGGTGTGAAGGAACAAAGAAACTGAGGATAACTTCAAGAGTTTTTTGATTTGAACAATTCCTTGATGGAAATGAGTTATCAGTGTGCCATCATTCTTGGGAGGGATGCAGGCTTTTCTGAAGTTTAGGAGCCAACTCACAAGAAATATAAGTGCTGGTAACACTCGACTCTGCAATATGAGAAATGTTTTAGCTTTTATTTGCATATGATGATTTTCTCTCTACATTTTCAGAAAAACAAATGCTGAGCAGAGGTTAGGAACAAATCTTGGCATAAATGTAAACATCTACTCTGTGGACTCCACCAAAGGCAAGTCCTTTTCTGCCAGAAATATGTTTATTTCTAATCTGCAAAGAACACAAAGGGCCTTGACTCAACTGGTTAGTGGGGTATCCAGACTTTACACTTGTCCCAGTGAGTCTTGAAGAAGCCAACTTAATGGAGTGTCTTTGTTGAAGATTCTAGCATGTTTGGTGAAGGCAAGTGGGCAAAAGCAAGCTGACAGTGCAGGGAAGGGATGAGATTTTAGAAGAGACAGAATGTAAAAGAAGAGAGACTGCAAACAGATTCATGGGACTCAATTGGCTGCCCAGCAGCAAATATCACTTCTGTGATTCCAGTGAAGGAATCACATGACTATATCCAACTGCATTTGCTTACTGTCTGGATGGTCTCTAATGAGACACAGTTTCTAGCCAGTTAGATTTCACACTGCTCAGTGCCAACTTGGCAATTTGTTTTGCATTAAACACTGTTAACCTGGTGACTTACCCTTCTTGGTAGGCAGACAGAGTCCCTCACAGCACTTCAATATTTTTTTTTCTTAAAAGAAAAAGAAGATAGTGGTCATGGTGGTGGAGGTGATGATGAGATGATGATGATGATGATGATGATGATGATGATGATGATGATGATGAAGAAGAAGAAGAAAATTAATTCACTCAGGTCACCATCTTAAAATCTTAAAATTATTGTTGAGATAAAATGACCCAGATAATGGGCCTTTTAAAATCTTTTCTGGATCATTCCAGGGAAGAGATCAATTCCATTTTCAACCCTCTGCTCTTATTGAGCCATTTCTTTTCTTTAAGGGTCAGGGTAATTTGTAGTCCTGGGGTGAGAAGGATCCTTTGGAAATTTGACCATATCCTTTGGGGCAGACTGAAACTAAGGAGGTGTTGTGGAGGGGGAGTAAGAATTTAGGAACAAAGGGATCAGATTTCATTGATCTCAGTTGTAAATGTACAAGTCATCTGTATCTGACGCCTTAAAGAAAATAGGAATTTTCTTCTTTAGGAGACAAAAAGAGTCCTCCCTAGTAAAAACAATGTATCACAGACTCTCTTCTGTTGATACAAATTAACTGAAAACTTTGGGTTGAGAGTCTGAACCCTGAGCCTGGCTTTTGAGTCTGATCCCTGAGCCTGCTTACTGAAGCTCCCCTGAAGATCACATTCCCTTGGAAAGTCTGAGGTTAACCTCCATGTTTCTCCTATGCATTTTCAGAACAGAAGCTAAAAGAGTGTGTCAGCTTTCATACCAGGAAGTGTTCAGTAAGGCATATCACTGATCCTTTTAAAGTGGGATACTTGATGGGTAAAACAGCTAAACCTCCTTCCCACAAGGTCAGGCCCAGGTAACTCCCATGACCCTAGTCTCTACAGAAGGTAAGTCTTGGTTTTCTTACTCTCAGCTGCAACTTCTGCTTCAATAACCGCACAGCGCTAACCAGAACCACTGGGCTGCTGAAAGGAGATGATGAAAGTTATGCTCCATCAACGGAGGAAGCTTAAGTGACAATAATAAAAGGTTTGGGTGGCAATGATAAATATTTTTGACTTCTGATGAAAATGAAAGGCCTTTCTTTCATTCTCAGCTTAGAGAAGTCAGAAAAGAATGTGTGTGCATGCATATACACGTTTGTGAGTGCTACGTGTGTCAGTGCACATGAGTGAATATGTGAGTATGTAATATTTTCAAAGTACCAGAATTCAAACTGTCCATTGATTTTCTAACAAATACCAAAAACAGAAAAATGACCTTGAAGATACAAATGTAAGGAAGCTCAGGAAGTACATGCCAGGCAGGCCTAAGTACCAGACTCAACTCACATTGGCAATAGATCACAGTGGAATTTCTGCACCCAGCACAGCCAAACAATTCTCTTTGCACCATGGCTCTGTAGACCAAACCCAGAAGGAGTGGAACACATTGGTTTTCAACAGCATCTGCACATTGAAAAGTTGAGCCCTAGAGAACCATCAATTGTTTTTACATGTCTTGTGATCAAACATCTTAAAATTTAAGGCAGATACTTTACTTTCCAAATATACAAATATAATCACTTTCTAAAAGAAGATATTTCCCTCTGCATCTCTCAAATAACCCAGTATTGGCAAGCCACTTGGGACTTAGCTTTTGTTGGGAGATGTGATTTTAAGATGGTTCCATAACATCTAGCATACGCTTTATCAAGGCAACATGTGGCTGTGTGAAAACTGGTAGACAAGAGCTGCCCTAAAGTCCAAAACAGACAGGATTTGGTTATGGTGAGACTCCCAACTCCAAGAGGGGGACACATATCAGGACCAGGAGGTGGGTCAACTCTGAATACATAAATGCATGCAGCTGTTAATGCAGTTCAAAGAACTTGTCTTGTTAGACCATTTTACTCAAATATTTTCCAACATATTCAATCAGCCCCCTCAAATTGACACTGCCACCAAAATTAAATCAATACTTCCTGTGAGAGAGGAATAAGTATCTTATCTAATAATCAACTTATTTGAGATTCACAATGCTGCTTCCTATTACCAAAAAGCCAGACTCGATTATTTACATTTAACTATACATTACTCTGATCTTTGTATCAGTTACATTTGGATAAAATGTGAGCTTCTAATTTAATTCTGATTTGGATTTCCTATGACACATCTATTTATGGCAACTACCCAAGAGAAAAAGACCGTCCGTAATAATAACAGTTATGGAAAACACTTATAAAGCACTTCTAACATGCCAGACTCTGGGTTCAGGCCATCACCGGATTGTCTACTTTAATCTTCAGACATGTCTACAAAGAAGCCATGGTTGCTACCCCCATTTTAGAGATGATCAACTGGGACTGAGACATTAAGTGTTTTATCCCCAGGATTTGATGCAGGCTGTCTGGTTTGAGAGTCCTGCTCCTAACTACGACATGGCTCTGAGGAGAGATGTCCTTAAGATTCCTTCTCACTCTGACTCAGAAAATAAGCAGAGGGCCATGCTAGAAGGGACCTAACAGAAAACCCAGGCCCTGGATAAGGTCAAAGTCACATCTGTTTGCTGTTCTCTGTGCTTTGGCTTCCTTCTTTCTGAGCTGTGCCCCTTCTCCATGAGTGCTGGACAAGACACGGTACAGCTGTCCATTACGTTCTTCAAATAAAGGGCATTTTCTGTTAACACAGAAGGGAAAGAAATGAACATGTGCTTGTGGTGTGGTATATGGAGGAAGCACACCTGTTTAAAATCCCCAGCTCATCATCTATTACCTCTGTCCCTGAGAAGTGTGTATCTCAGTTTTTTCATCTGTAATATGGGGACAATTATAATTTCGCAACATAGGATTGAGGGAGGGTTATAACCAAAAAATAACAAACCACACAAGTAAAGCTCTCCCCTCAGCACCTGGTACAGACTAAGTGCTTCATCCTGTTACATGAGCCATGATCACCTGCTGGGACCCACCACACCTTGCCTGATGCCTGTGGCAAGGCTCTCCCTCTCCTCCACTGCACTGTGAACCCCTCATGGCACTGGTTGTGTCTCATCCATCTCCAGATCTCCAGTACCCCGTACAGTTCCCAACTCATAGTTGACACTTGTGAATGTCTGTAGTGTGAGTAATGATTGAATCGATGCCCTTACTCCAAGCCCAGTTCGCTGTACAAAGTAACTGAAGCTCAGAGAGGCCAGGTCACTAGCTGAGGTCAGAGAACTAGGTGGCAGCAGAGCTGGGAGGAGGGAACCAAGCCTCCTGACTTCCAGTCCAATGCACATCACAGCAGGGTGCTTCAACTTGCACTTTCTTAAAAAGGTTTAATCAAAGACCAAGGCCAAAGTGACAACTAGAACATCAATAACATTATCAAACTAAGGACATATTCAAAATCTATTTTTTCAACCTCCTATAATTTAAATGTCAGCAAACCATCACATAAAATGCAAAAAATAAAAAGTTGTAAAAATCTAAGTCTAAACATTTTTAGTGTCTTGCATTTAAGTAATTACATAGTAGTACTATGATAATCAAATAGCAATTGACAAAACAAAAATGCACAGTAGTCATGTATTGTACCTGATAGAAGCAGTATTACATCACCAAACATCCTGCCTTTTACACAACTATTTCACTCCTTGGAAGCACCCTGGTGATGAATATGCTATTAAGCAGGATTTTTTTAATTTGCATGTTTCTCTTGTAGTGATTCTTCAATAAATTTTTCTGACTTCCTTCATAAATAAGTTTCATGATTCCTCATTATTTAAAAAAACAACCACATTTCCCTTTCCTGAAAGGATACCATATATTAGATGACCTTCCTATATAAAATCATAAATGAAAAAGGACCAGACCACTGCAGGAAAATAAGCAATCAGACAATAGGGCACTAAATACAGTTGAACGGACATAAGATATTACGGTAGAGTTAAAAGTCTGCAAAAGAATATTTTACAATGCAAAGAATCAAAAGAGAATTTAGTTTTACTATAGCATGAGACAAATCCCAGCATTTGCACAATTTACCACCCATTTCTTCATTTCACTGTTTTAAACATGCTTTTAAGACATACTGGATAACTAGTAAAAATTGTATACAATGCAAATGACATTTCAGATAAGTTTTATTGACTTAATGCTCTGATAATAAAATTATAACAATCAGTATTATTCTGATTTATGGCAATTTTTACTTTCACTTTGTAATGGACTTGGTGCACCACAGAATTGAATGTAATGTTGCTGCCACCTCAAGGTCACTCGCTGAAAATGAGATGGCTCACTTCAACCTAGTGCACTAAAGCAAGGAAGTAACGGAGGGCTTTATGGATAAAAATATCACATTGTGGTCACGTCACAGTAAATCTAAACTTTTATTTGCAATGAAACAATGGGTTTTATATGCAATTTGCAATGAAAACATACTCCGGTAATGCTAGGATGGCATCGTGAGCACCAGGTCTATGAGAGAGAGGCTCATATCACAGTCCAGGAGAAGAAATGTCAATTCATCACACTGAAGAGCCATCTGTGCAGAAATGGCACATTGACAGGGCATAATCTAGATACAGTGGTTTCTTTGAAAAAGAAACAGTCCCCCCTCGAGTTTATTTTTCCTTCATAAAGCTCACTTGGCTCTTCTCCTCTCCTCCTTCCATCTTTCCCAGTTGGTGACCTCTATGAACCTGACTCTCTTCCAAACGGATTTATCAAAACTACCCTTAACATGAACAAACAGTTTACAGAAAAGGAAATGCCGATGAGTCGGCTCACTCGGAGAGATACATGTTTTGCCTAACAGATTGTCAAAGATCAACTTTTGATAACACTGGCTTGGCAAGGTGGTACTGTAAATTTGAAAAGAAGGAAATGTGGTGATATTTTTCAGATTTTAAAATGCATATAGCCTCTGACCAGCAACCCTATTTCTAAAAATTTTTCCTTCACATACATGTGCACAAAGCTATCTGCACAAGGAAATACAGCACAGCAAAAGATGGGAAACAAACTGAATGTCCATCAACAGAAGACTTGTAAAATAAATTATAGCAAATCCATA